CTGGTTTCTAGCTTTATCCAGTACCCCCCCAAGAAGCACCCGGTGTGCCTCTGTCCAGGGAAGGAGCAAAAGGAAGGGTCAGGGACCCCAGAGAGGAGGGGCTGGGTCAGGAAAGATACCCAGCCCCAAATCTGCTTGCAGGGAGCTCGAGCATCTCAACAAGAACAGGCTCTGGAGGTCTGCTGGGCATCACTCTGCAAAGTCTTTGAGGGAGGAACCATTGCTGGTTGGTGCACAGCGTGAGGAGGTCTTCATCTTCATCATCTTCATCTTCACCTTCACCTTCATCCACACACAGCCCTCCCCCCAGCCCTGCTGCCAGGTCAGACCCCAGCCCAGATCCCTCTGTGAAACTGGACTCTCATTTATTTATCCAGGAATTAGCCAAGCATCGTAACTACCAGGAAATCAAACAAGTGAGGGTTGATAACGGGCTGCACGTCACCACTCCTGCAAACTGTCTGCTGAAAGATGGAAAATGTGCCCAGGACAAGCCACAGCCTTCAGTCATCACAGTTCTGATGGGAACCAACCTCTCTGTGAGGCGTTGTCCTCTCACCCTGCTGGCACACAGCTCAGCCAGAGCCACGCGTCCCGGTGGGATAAACACACTGTTCTTCCAAGGACACAACAGAGAAGTTGAGTTTTTAATACTCAAGTTTGGTTTTTTTTGGTTTTTTTTTGGCTGGGATTATTTACAGTGAGATTTGAGAGGAGAGATTCACACCAAAACGAAACCTGAAATATGTGAAACCGTGTTGAAGTGACTCTTGCACCCATGAGAACAGCCCCAGATCATGATGGATGTTGCTGTCATTTTGTACCAAAAAAAAAAAGCCTTTCCCTCAGGTGTTCAGCACTGAGAAAAGCTTGTGATGAATTCACTGGTGAGAGGGGAGATGAGCTTCAGGGGCTGTTTTTGTCCTTGTTTCGGATGTGGAGGTAGCTGCTGAACTGCAGCGTCTCCTGGTCTTGTACCACCAACACTGGCCTTGCACAACAGCAGCTTTAGCTCCCTAAAAACAAGCAGCAGTGAGGGGACTGAGCAGAAACCAGCCCCTGCTCCCTGGCTCTCGTGTGGCTCAACCTTGGCAATGTGGCTCACAGCATAACCTGCCTTGGGAGCAGGAGCAGTGCAGGGCTGGGTGGGACCTGCTGCTCACCTTGGGATTTTGGTGTTGGTCTTTGCTTGCCAAAGCCAAAATACTCTTTTTTTTGGTTCATGTACCCACTACTGGTGCAGAGGGAGAAACACCCATAGCAGAGCCAGGTTTCTGCCTAACCCTTGTCCCTGGGAGCCCTTTCTCATCTCTTATTCCCAAAGTCCTGCCCAAGGCACTATCCCCCTGGGAGGTGGTGCCAGCCCCAGATGCCCACAGAGCCATCCACAGCCAGATCAGCTCTTCCCCCTCTCACTCAAGTGACTGACTGCTGGCTCTGCCTCATCAACCAGTACCTCCAGTCCCTGGCATGAAGAGACTGGGGAGGATTTTTACTCTAAAACAACGACCTGTATACTGGTAGGGTTGAAAAAGAAACAAGTGTGAGGTCTATTCACATTTCAGCCTTCAATTCCACGTGGAAAGTTTTACACGGAGCTTCAGCAGATTCTGCTGGGGTAGGAAATACAAAAGAAGACCTAAAGCAAGAGAAGGGGGATTAAAAGCCTGGTGTTCTTAAAAGAGGAAGAAATCCTGCACTTAAACATAAAAAGGAGATAGAAACAAACTCTCTTAACCAAAATCATCTGAAACCTGAGAGGTTTTTGTCACTGAAATCCCAATTTAACTATTTTAATCAGCCCAACACATCGCCACCAAAATATTTGGCTGTTTGGAGTCTGGCTCAAGGCTTCTGTAGCTTCAGTCTGCCTCTGCTGAAAAGCTGTTCAGGACTAAGGGCACCTGCACTTCTCATTGTGTTCCTCTAACATCAAAAGCAGAGAACAGCTGCAAAAGAAAGTGTCTTGTGTGGCCAGTTCCAGGAGGAGGCAGAGAAGCAGGTCCTTGGCAGCTGGATGTGCTCTAGGCTGATGTTGAAGCTCTTCACAGAAATAACAATAATAGAAAAGAAGGTGGTCTGCAGCTCCCTGACAGCCCACAGACAACTCCTGCCCTGGTCTCTGCGCTCCCTCCCAGCCGGCAGCAGGGACACGTCTGCAGCCGCTCACATCTCGGTGTCACCGGGGCTGTGCTGCCTGCCCGAGGGGCCGTTTTTGGAGGCTGCTTGGCCAGTCCCGTTCTCCTGAGTCCCACCGTTGAGGTTTGGCTTCTCCTGCAGCTCAGCTTGCTCTTGGGGGGGCATCATCAACATGGTATTGCCCTGGCTGCCGCTCTCCGTGTAATAGGGGTCTTCAGCCTAAACAGGTACAGGAATAACAAAGGCAGAGTTAGGGAAGGGGGAGGGCTGAGAGCCACCAGCTCTGCAGCAGCCACTTGGCTGCCCGTGCTTCCTGGACGGGAGGCACAAACAACTGCAGGCATGGGAACCTGCTCTGGCTGATGAGAGGGGAGCAGAGGGCCTGAACCGTGCATGGCAAGATGAAGCAAGAAAGCCAGCCAGGAACTGTGTGGGCTTTTAATCCTGGATCTGAAAAGAGAAGCTGTCAAGTTTTGTTGTTTCCTCAGAACTATGTTTTGGAGCTGGCCCTGCCTTGAGTTTGCAAAGCCACCCTGTGATAGACCACCTCTGCTCTCCACTTTGGCCAAGGAAGAAGCACCACTGGGTGGAAGCTAGAGAAGCTGCCTCTTGCTCTTTCCCCCTCCTTCTTTCTTTCAGAAAAACAGACCTGCAGCAAGGTGCCAGCAGAAGTGCAGGACTGCACTCCAGCAAATGCAAAGACTCACTATGTGGCTTCTAAGTGCTGCTGCTGCAAGGATCAGATGCCTCGGGAGGATCCAGGGTAACAGAGGACCGTGGCAGGTCAAGGTGGCCCCAGGCTGTGGGTGGCAATAGCCAGCTGGTAGCAGGTAGCCCTGCTCCTTGCTTGCCCAGCAGCATCCAGCATGCAGGAGAGGCTGCCAAGCTTCCCACCCACCCTGGCATTTCACTCGCCCCCTTTGCTGACACCCTTGTCCATGGCAGGGAGGTGTGTGCTGGACACCTCTCCCTGGAAGCTGGATTTCCAGGATTTCCATGGGCAGATCCCACCTATGCTGCCTTTCACTTGGTGCCAGCATCCAGCAGAAGGTACCTGGGGGTAGCAGGCTCAGGAGCCCAAGCTGCAATGTCCCTGCCCCTGAGACATGCTCTTCCCATCTGCAGGGTTTGAGAGCATCCTCTCTGGCAATGAAATAACCTCACAGCTTCCCAGGACACAGCCACTGACGTGCCCATGAGCAGTGATGGGGGAAGAGTGTGACCCATCCTCACTTTACAGAGAGCTCACGTCTCCAAAAGTCACTGCTAGGGAAGAGTCCTCAGCAGTCAGCCTGTCTGGAAAGGGGAGTGTGGAAATAGGAAATTTCTTTCTTGATATATTTTATTACTGTCGCTTGTTAGGTGAGGGAGAAACAGCACTGGCACAAGACAGACATAACCCAAAGCAACGACTGGCGAGTTAAAGTGGGTCACTTTTGATGACAAATTCATAAAGTTTCGGTGTCAAGCAGGGTCTTGCTGGATGAGTTCTTACTGCTGAGCAAAAAATAAGTGTTAGACCTAAAAGCAGGAGTGAGAAAGGGGAGGTTTTCCCGCGGGAGCAATCAGCTAAGTGCTCCTTTCAGGCAACCTCCCTGCCCAGGCTGCCCCAGCCCCGCGGGGCAGGGTGTGGAGCTGCCCCCTCCCCTCCCCGGGCTGCGCTGGGAGCTGCCCCCTCCCCTCCCCGGGCTGCTCTGGCCCCGCTGAGCACTGACCAGCCTCTCCCCCGCCGGGCTCCAGCTCCGCCGCTTCAGCAGGTAGTAGCCAGCCAAGCCCAGGAACGCCAGCAGGAGCCCCGAGGTCACCAGGGCGATCAGGGTCTTCTGAGAAAAGTCCTGGTGGCTCCTCACGTTCCCCTGTTTAAGGGATTGTATTCCAAACTGGAAAAAAAAAAACACCAAAGAGAGCCGGGAGTCTGACAAACAGGAAACATGTGCATCTGCTGAACAGGCACCAGCCCTGGAACAATGCTGCTCTTCACCTCCTGCCTCAGCCTCAAGTAAACAGCCTCGGCTCTGCTGCCCCAGCTCCTGAGCTCTTGCCCTGTGAGCTCACGGTCTTGTTTCCATCCCAGCATCTTCTGTGGCACAGGGAAATCTCCAGAGTGCTCAGAACCCGAGGTTCAGAGCATGCACCTGCAGGGCTGAACCCTCCCCGTGTGCTGCTGCTGCAGCTCTCCTGGCTGCCCTCTCTGCAGGCACCTGGAGTGCAGCTTTGGGAGCTGATGGCAACCTCCCGGGGTGCTGGGAGGAGGGATTCATTAATGCCAGCGTGGTACTTTGCAGCCTCAGAGTGCCAATCACATCCCAAGGGTTGTTGTTGGGATCTAGGCCTTTTTTAAGGCAATTCTACAGAATTTTCCAGTAGCCATTTCAAGCATTTCTGCCTTCAGGGGTTGTATAAGTGCTTTTAAAGTGCACCACTCTCACTGCACATCTGGCGGTTGGCTCCAACCACCTCACATCCCAACACTCAACAGATGCCTCCGAGGTGGAGGCAGGTTCAGGCCTCAGCTGCCTGCACCAGCCTTAACTGGTCATCTAAAAAAACCTCCTTTCTCCAGCCACTTAGGCCACCCATTTTTTTCCAGCTGAATTTGCTTAAGAAATTTACCTTTTCCCAGTGAGATTCCTGGAGCACGTCTGTGGCAGGATCTGCAATGTTTAAGAGAGGAGAGGCACATCACCCAGAGGGTCACCGCTGCTCAGGTCAGCACTGAGCCTGCCCGTTGCTGGACATGGAGCCAGGAGCCCCTTTGCTGCCCTGGAGACAACACCATGGCTCCAAAAGTCTAGCAAGACCCCAGAAAAAGGAGCAGTAGTTGCAGAGGGAAGTCTCCTCCCAGGTTTTATCTGAGGATTTGTGTCCCACAGCCTCTCCCCACACAATCCCCTTTCCCATTGCCCACACCGAGGTCACTATCCAGCAGCATCCATGACAAAGAACTTGGGGATTGGACTCTGGTCTCCAGAGGTCCCTTCCAACCCCTAACATCTGTGAAGGAACAAGCTCCACTGACCTCTCTCCCCGACGAGGATGAGGAGCATGCAGTTACGGTCCACCTCAGATTTAGCCAGTTTAATCTGGCAGGGGGAGGGAACTTGGTGGGTGCTCTGTTCACACACTGCACTCCATAGGGCCGGTCCCTTCATCTCTAAAAAATGTTTCTGCAAAATTGTCAAACAAACAGACGTTAAACCAAATCATTGAATCCTCCAGCTTGGCCTGGCTGGTGGTGTTTCTGAATCCTCCAGCTCAGCCTGGCTGGTGGTACTGCTGGTGGTGGTACTGCTGGTGGGGGTATTACTGGTGGGGGTTTGCTCTCACCCTTGGTGTTTGGATGGCTCAACTGTGCTGTGAAAAGCTGAGCAGAAGCAACAAGAACCAACCAACATCTCTGAGCTGGGTGTCAACCCTTCGCCTCCCCACCTCACCACTGCTTTGGGGCCCAATACTTACACCCAGAAAACAGAGGTGATTATTTCTTGCTCCTTAACTGAATGCAAATAGATTAAATGAAGATATTCTTAGCAACTCTTGCAAATGACATTTAAACAAAGCTAAATTTAGGGTCTGAATTGCATGGCAAGTCCCTCCGATTTTTGGACTGCCACAGCCGCCTGAAGAGCCCTATTGTTTCAGAGTCCCAGGCAGGGGCTGGGAAAGGAGGGAAATAACAAAGAAGCATTGAGCCTTCCTGTTTAGGAAATGTCTTCAATGTTTTCGCTAGGTTGCTGATCAAAGGCTAGGCAAAAAACCACAAATTTCTCACATTTTAGAGCCGAACCGACTCTTGGGTGGAAGAGGAAGAGGAGTGAGGAGCTGCAGCCTTCCCCTTCTGTGGGCCAATTTCTGTAGCAGACAGGATAGGCTTTCTCCTTGGGGCTATTTTCAGCCACGGCCAGGCTCAGAGACAGAGCCCACAGTTGCTAGAAGCCGTTATCAGCTTCCCCAACATCCTCCCGGCTGGGACATCATCCGAGCTGTGGCCGTGCCCACCCCCTCGAGACAGAGACCAGCTCTGGCACAACCCCCTGCCCGCTGTACCCAGCAAGGCGAGGCTGTGAAAGAGGAGAAAACCCTCTTGCCTGGCAGGGCTGTGGAGGGCTGGGCAGCTCTCTGCCTCCCTCCCTCTCCCTCCGAACCGCCTCCTGTTGCACTCGGATTGCCACATCCTCCCAGCGTACAAAAACACAGAAACTTATCCAGGGGACAATAACAAACAAATCATTTTCAGCTGTTTCTATAGAGCTTGGGGTGAGAAAGGCCAAGATGGAACAAGAGACCCAAGTGTGTATTTTCCTTTCTCTGCTGTGGAAAGAACTCATCGCAGTGTCAGAGTTTCCCCCTGCAACGAGCGGCACTGGGTGCCAGCTCATTGCTCATGTGCTCTGGGACAGGCCGGCAGGGAAGCCGGGCACGGCACGGGCCCTCCTGCCTGCTCTCCTGGCAGAAGCTCTCAGCTGGTCCCCAGGTGCTGGGCCTGAGCTGGTTTTTCCCACTCCATGGTTGCCGGGGTGGCTGCAGGGATCTGCTGTGGAGAAGGCGGCTGGAAGCGCGCGGCTCGGCTCGCTTCCCGGGGGTAAGAGACCCTGCCATGAGACAGGACTCTGCAGGATATTCTGTGTGCTGTCTGTGCATCCGTTGAGGTGTGTAAAGCGTGCACAGCGTGTAAACCCCGTGCCCAGGAGGTGCCGTTCCCACTAGATGGCATCTGTGATCAGAACCACGCTCCGGAGGAGTTTCCGTGGGGATTCCTGCTCAAGTGCAGCCCCTGTGGACAGGAGCTCTCAGCGCCGTTCAAGCGCCAGTTTGCAGAGAAGAGCCAAGTCAGAATTCACTCATCCTGAGCAGGGCTGACCAGCAGAAGTCTGTTTATGCCGAGGGAATTGCCCAATCTGCTGTCCCACAGGTGCAGCTCCATCTGCCCTCGTTGCAGGTTGGATCTCCAGCATGGAAGGTTTCTTGCCTCCCACTCACAAGTGTCTCTCAGCTGGACCCTCTTCTGCCTTCATAAACGTCACGTTTTTGGTGCACAGGGGCAGTTACAGAGAGCCTGAGATCCCCTCAGGAGCCAGTGCAGATGGGGACACCACTCAGCCACCCGTGCCCCTCCAGCTGCCCTGGTTTCTCTCCTAGGGCAGTCGGCAAGACAAAAGAAAAGGCACTTGCCTTCCCAACAGGGAAGAGGAAGAAGAAGAACAAAGGCAATTTCCTTTTAAACATGGTGGGAGATACTTTAGAAGCTAAACTGACCCCAGACCTTAATCAGGAAGAAGGAGGTTTTAAGCAAGCAGGAGGTTGCATTTCCCCTGGCACTGCTGGGGTTGTCCCTTGGGGATCCTCCCGGGTCTGCTGTGAGCATCCCCACCTCCCTCAGGTCAGCACAGCTCAGATACTCTGCCCTGGAGATAACAGTGTGAGCTCCCCCCCCAAAACCACCCCCCCAGGAGTGGGGGGTGACCCTATCTCTGCAAGCCTGGGTGTGCTGCAGGAACCTGCCCTTGGCTGTTTGCTTGCAGCCCCCTCCTCCTGCATGTTCCCCCCCCCAGACCCATGGCCACGCTGGGCTGCAACTCACGCAGGTGTAGGACTCGTTGAGCTGCAAGCAGAGAACTCCAGTGTCACTCACTTCTTTGACATTGTGGCACGTGATGGGCTGCAAGGGAAGAAACACAGAGGTGGCATCAGCCAACTGCTGGGGGGCTGTGAGACAAGCCCAGCCTCCCCATGGTCCCCAGGCACATCCTCACCTTTGGGCTGTCCCTGACTGTGTGTGGTGACGTGGTGGCAGCTGAGCTGGGAGAATGCCCCGAGGTGGCAGGAGAGCTGGTCAGAACTAGCGTGGGCCCTGGGGTTTCTGCCCTCTTGCTGGGCTGTGTCTCTGGGCTCTCGGTGGTGCCGACCCCCTGGCTGGTGTGGTTGGGGTCCGAGGGGGTGCCCGGCAGCTGTGTGGGGGCTTGGCTGGGCTGCGGGCTGGTCCATGTGCTGCTGAGCCCCAGGGAGGTGGAGCTGGGTGCCAGGGACCTGGCTGCAGCTTCAGTGTTGAAGAGATGCAATGAAAAGGATACACAAGAAAGCTTAAGCCCTCTAAAATCAGTGCGTGGCATTGCGCTGACTGAAGTACAATATTGATTTGTCATAGCCAGTGGGACCAGAACGTGTCATTGGCTGTGTAAGGAATGCCCATTAGACTTGCTTCAGTTACCTAATTGTTACATGTGCTTCATAATCTGTTTACAATGGGCTAATTTCCCAGGCACACGCCGCACCACAGCAAGGGTGCCAGTGCCTGCCCTGCATCACCCTCCTCTCCCCCTTGACCCAGGCTCTTCCAAGAGATGCACTGATTTCAAACAGCACAACAGAAAGGTGTCACACATCTGTGCAAGGGTCCCTGCTCCAAAGCCCTTCAGAGCCTCCCAGCAGAAAGGCTGGTAGAGCTCTTTTGGGTGCCATTTGCTGAGCAGAGAATGGGTGTGTTGAGATAAAATATTAATGAACATTTTGTCCCATCATCTCTTGGCTGTCCTGAAAAGGATGGGTCCAAGCTGCCTGTCCTGAAGGCAGCAACATGAGGTTGCCCCAGGTGGGATGTTTTGGACAAGAATCAAGCTTTTGACTATACTGCCAGGCTCTGTTTTGGGAGCACAACCCATGCACCAGCTGCACAGTTTCTTAGGGCAAGTCCGTGCACTTAAATCTGATTATTAATGGGAATGCTACCAGGAGTCACGGGGGGGTGAGGGGAGGGGTTACCAGACGTCTCTGGCCTCGGCTCAGCACTGCTGGGGGCTCCGGGGGCTTCATGGGCTGCTGTGCTGCTGGTGCCTTTTGCCTCCGTGGTCATCGGGGTGGGGGCGTCTGTTGGGTTCCCCGAAACATTACCTGGGGGCAGAGGAAAGCATTAGGGGCTGCCAGCCCCCCACCCCAGCCCCTGGATCCTGCCTGCCCCTCCCTGAGGGGCCCTGGGGCAGGGCAGGGTTAGCTGCTTTCCCAAATTCACTTTCTTCTTGCCCCAAAATGTCAGGCTGCCGTGGAGCTCACAGGGGAGCAGCTCAGAGACTCAACATTTCAGCTGGACGAGCACCAGACTCGGGTGCAGCCCTTGCAGAGGCTCCAGGGCTCTCGGGTGGTGCTGGAGGAGAGGCTCATTTCTGCCCTCATCCTGCCCCATCCCCAGGCTCAGCGAGGGATGCTCTAAGCTCTGCACAGAGCTGGATCCCAGTGCAGTGTGGGTTTATAACCCTTGGAGGAAAGACTCAGGCCTTGGAAGAGCTCACTTGTGTGCCTCAGGATAAAGAAGTTGGATTTGCAGTTGCAGGCACAATCTCAAAGTAAATAGAAACATTCCCATTGGCTTGGGATCAGCTCTGACTCATGAGCAAAAACATCTTTGGAGGTGAAACAGAATGTTTGGAGAAGGGTTTGCTGTTCTAACTTAAAGTTTATATATTGCTTCCTGGTGTGTTACAAAGATGACACTTCCAGCTCTTCCTTCTGAAACAAACTATCCGAGTTAGTTAAAATGCATTTCTTCCCCTTTCTTAACCTTTTCTATTCCTAAGACCTATTTCCACTCTTAACAAACAGCTTCAGTCTCTACTCCTGTTGCTGTTTAAGATTCTTATCAGATCCTGAAGAGAGAATCACACAAAATATGTTGTTTCATTTGTATTTCCTCCCAGGGGAGCCTGAGCTCCAAGAAGAGTGACTTCATCCTTCCAAAGAACCCGAGATGGAGCAGCACTGACAGGTCCTGATCACCTCCCAGTGCTGGCATGGGGCAGTGCCCACTGCCAGCCCAACACACACGCAGGAGTCATCACTGCAGAGTCCTGCACGCCAGCGCTGCCCTGGCAGGGATTTTCCTCCATCAGGATGTCAGCACTTCGCTGGATCAGGCCCAGAGAATCTGGACGGCTTATGAAAAGCAAAGACTGAGATCACTGAACTTTATTTTGGCAAGTGAGTGGCAGGAGGCAGAGCTGCTCAGTGCTGAGCGGGGAGCACAGCCCAGCATGGTCCTGTGGGGCTGCTCCCACTGCTGCATCCCATCCCATCCATCCCATCCCATCCCATCCCATCCCATCCCATCCATCCCGTCCCGTCCCATCCCATCTATCCCATCCCACGGGATCCCCCCTGGGCTGCAGCTGCTCAGGGCAGGAGAGCCCTGGGGGGTTGGGGGCCCTGCTGAGGGCTCCGTGCAGGTGTCTGGATCTGGGCTTTAGGTTCTGGCACGGGTTTTATTTAAGGGAGGAGTTTCTTCTCTCCGAGGCAATTCAGTTCCAGCCGGTTAAATCACCGAGTTTTTCTGATGAAGTTTAACAAATCAAAAGCAGGAGGCAGGACTGCGTGCCCGGAGTAATGAGTAACACAAAGTTAAATCCCTGCTTTGCACAGAGCTTCGTGTGTGCACGGCCACGAGCAGGAAACTTCCCATCACTGGAACAGTGCAGCGCCTGGGCTTGACCTCCCCAAGTGCCACAGCCACCCAAGCACCTCTGAACTGTTCCAGATGTTCATAAAGCACCAGAGGTATTTCTAATCAAAGGCTTTTCACCCCTGAATATCGTAAATTGACGCCTGGGTTATTACTCAGTGTAGTTTGTGGGGGGACCTGTCACACAGTATTTCTTCCCTTTATTGTAGCACATGGAGGCACTTTTATGGCAAACACGGCCACGTTTTTCTGAACCCTTAGGACTCCAGAGATAAATAATGATCCAGCTGTGGGCTGGTTAATCCACATGGTGCTCAGCTGAAGAGGGTCATTTATTGCACCACACATTTTTTACTAGCTTTGCTAAACCTCATCAATTTGTTAGTATTAAGAGTTTGAGAGTTTAAGCCAAGCCATTTATTAACCTTGGAGAAATCTTTGGTGCTAGCATGTGTAGGAGCAAAGCATGCTCCTCAAAGAGATGCACTGATTTCAAACAGCACAACAGAAAGGTGTCACACATCTGTGCAAGGGTCCCTGCTCCAAAGCCCTTCAGAGCCTCCCAGCAGAAAGGCTGGTAGAGCTCTTTTGGGTGCCATTTGCTGAGCAGAGAATGGGTGTGTTGAGATAAAATATTAATGAACATTTTGTCCCATCATCTCTTGGCTGTCCTGAAAAGGATGGGTCCAAGCTGCCTGTCCTGAAGGCAGCAACATGAGGTTGCCCCAGGTGGGATATTTTGGACAAGAATCAAAGCATGAACCCCCCCTGTACTTCCCTGTACCCACTGTATTTACCTGGCTGGCTTTTAAAAAGTAAATGCCTCTGATTTGTAAAGATGTTTTAAGAATGAGGCTTAGGAAGTGTCCCAGCTTAAATCAAATTCAAAAGGCAACAATATAAAGTAGCTGGCTTGATCCAGGCCTCAGCCCTGAGCACTAAACCAGGACCACAGAAGGCAAAGCTCCACAGTGGCAAAGGCTCAGGAAATGGTACAAGAGTCTCCACGATTTGAGCCCCTACTCTGCACCCACAGCTCATTAAACACGAGGGTTTCTCCCCTGCACATCCACCGCTGCAAGGCAGAAGGTGCAACCCACGGGGCATTCCCACACCTCCTGCAGTGGCACTGGCTGGAACGTGGGGCTCCCAGTAAAGCTTTCACTGGGTGCCTAATTTGGGGCTCCAACACAGAAACCCTGCACCAGGAGAGTTCCTCAGACTCTTCTGTATGTTTAACAAAGTCCTTTCCCAAGCTCAGCCGGTGCAGCAGCAGGGATGGCAGAGCACCAGGGGTGACCCAGCACCATGGTACCACTGGTACCAGTGCCTGGAGAAGAGGAGGGTGAGGAACTGGGGGCTGTGGAGCTCAGAAGCTGCATCCAGCCCAGGCTTCCCCCAGCAGCTCCTCCGAGGGCTCCAGCTGCATTACTCATCCCTTCCCAGTGTTACTGCTCCCAGCCATGTGGCAGGAATTCAAGCGGGTGGAGCCCTCTTCCCTCTGGAAATATCTGATAAAAAAATCCCTTCCCTCCCCCTTTTCCTTCTCCCAGGCAGGATATGGGTGTGGGGCTGCAGTCACGCAGGGCAGGGGGCTGTGGGGAGCCCCTCGAGCTCAACCCCAGCTGCTGGACCAAGGGTTGCCATGGGCTTGGGGGCTCTGCAGCAACTGGGTGCTGCTGGGGAGCTCAGCACGTTCCTGGGGACCAACGTTGTTCCTGGCTCAAGCAATTACGACGTGCAACCCTCTAAAGGACATTAAACTCAAGTGGGTGTGAGTTTTAAAGTTCTTTTCCTTCCCTGATTTTTAGAACTTTTCTAGGACTTGCAAAAGTAATGAAAGGAAGAATGTTTTAAAGTGCAAGAAAGATATTTTTTAAAACACACATTTGGCAGAAATTAATAAAAAAGAAACAAAAAAAGAAAGATAAAAGACTTTAGGAAAAGAAAATACTAGGTACAAATAGAATATGAACTTTTTCCCAGGCACATTGAGACAAGCACAGGACAGCTCTCCACATGGTTTATCAACACCCACTTTTGGCACCGTGAACCCCCCCAGCATAGCCCAGAGTTCTTGAGCAGCTCAGGAACATCGGCTGCTCTGCAGACCAGGGATGGGCATAAACCTCCCCCCTGGAACTCAGGGGTTGCCCAGAGGACCAGGGACAGCCCAGACCTGACCATTCCATGGGCAGTTCACTCCCTGGGAGGCTGGACGAGGCTGCCCATGGCTCTGGGGGCAGACTGCAGCTCGCAGTGACTCGGTACCAGCCTCCATCCTCCCCACACGTGGCAGCTGTGGAGGACCTGCACCCAGCCCAGCGTGGCACAAGTTGGGTTTCCCTCCTGTAGGACACGTGGCTTCAGCTGAAGGTGTCCTGGGGGAAGGTGGAAGCCAAGCATCCCACACTCAGCAGCACCAGGAGCCAATCTAATCAAAACCCCCCAGAATTGGGATTTCCACCAGGAGCTGCACAACCAACACCTTCATTTCATTCCCCCCAGAGAGGTGAGGTGCATGTGGAGCCCCAGGGAGAGCTCCCGAGCCTTCCTCTGCTCATTGAGCAGAAACAAACCTCCTCCACTTCCCAGGGAGAGCTAATAAAGCTCTGTAATATCCTGCAGAAACGTGGAGTGCTGGCAAAAGGAATGACAATTGGCAGCATTAAACCTCTTGTCGCCTGGTAGCTTTGTCTGTACAGAGGAAAAGCTTTTTATCACTTCTGTATCCCTTCAGCTTTGTACGACAAGGAACTCGGGTTTCACACTCCAGGTAAATACTCTTGTTTTACACCCTCACCCACCTCAGCCCAACCAGACAATCCTGGATTTTATTTCTCCCAAATACAATTATTTTTTTCCCTTGCTGTAAATGAACACAGAGTGGAGGGTCAGGCACAGCAGCTCGGGTGAGCAACGGACCCTGGCAGCAAAGGGAACATCAAAGGAGCACTGGGAAACAAGAACAAAATACAGCAAATTCTTTCAACAGATCTGGTTGCTCACATCCATGTGAGTAAGGCAGAATTGTACTTGAGACACCCACAGGTTCCTGGCTCCTGTCCCAGCACACTGTGGAACACACGGAGTGCTGCTTCACTTTTTATTACTTCATGGTTGTTGGGTTTGGGACAAAAATGATAATATTTCCCTAAAATATACCCCTTTAAAAAGTACTACCTAGAGAAAGTCTTTATCATCATTCCTTTTTTTCATGTGATGAATATTTGAAGAGCTAGAATAGGACGTTTTAATATTTATAGAGATTCCCTTGATTTTCAGCAAAAGCTTAATGCCTAGCACAAAACAAAAGCCAGGCTGATTTCCAGCAGAGCAGACTGAGCAGCAGCTCAGCCCTGTGTGCTGCTCACATCCCCTGCTGTGACCCACAGCCTCCCGGGGGCTCTTCCCTCCTGCCCCTCTCCCGTGGAGCCCGCAG